TATCGTGGCTTTGGTGACGTGGTGGCCTTGGTGACGTCATCACCTTGGTGGCACGGTGGCCTTGCTGACATCACACCCTTGCTGACGTCACGGCCCCGCGCGCCCGTCCCCATGGCAACCGCCACTTCCGGCCCCGCCCCGCCGCTCCGCCAACAGCTTCCTCCCGCGCTCCTCACGTGACCGGAAGCGGAAGCGCCATGGAGCCCCCGGGAGCGGCGGCGGGGCTCGGTGCGGACCCCCGGCGCCCCCCCCCTCCCCCGACCCCCCCCGACCCCCCCTGACCCCCCCTCTCCTCTCCCCGCAGCCCCCAAGCGCCGCGGCCCGGGCCCGGCCCCTCCGCGGATGGCGGAGCCGCGGCCGCTCTTCGACGACACCAGCGGCGGGGCCGCCCCCCCCCCCACGGCCCGGCCCGGGCCTACGGGGCCCCCCCGGCGGCCCCCCCGGCGTCCTCCGCATCCCGCCTGCCCCCCCCCGCCGCCGCCTTCCTGGCCGAGCCCGTGTCCAGCCTGGCCGCCGCCTACGGCAGCAGCTTGGCCAGCCAGGGCCGGGACATCGTGGACCGGAACGTGAGGAGCGGGATAAGGGGGGGGGGGGGAGAATTGGGGGGGTGGGGGGGGCGCCGGGGGGCTCAGCGCTCCCCCCCCCCCCCCCGCAGCTCGACCGCTTGGTGCCCGTGGGCCGCCTGAAGTATTACTTCGCCGTGGACACGGTGTACGTGGGCAGGAAGCTGGGGCTGCTCGTCTGCCCTTCGGGCACCAGGTGGGCACCGGGGCCAACACCGGGGCTGCCCCCCCCCGCCCCCCTCCCCGCTCCCGGTCCCATCTATCGTACTGGCCAGTCCCGGTACTGGTCCCGGTTCCAGCCCTGATCCCATCCCAGTCGTGGTCCTGTCCCCATTCCCGTTCCTGGTCCCGTTCCTTTTCCCCCTCCCGCTGCTGTTCCCAGTCCTGGTTCCAGTCCCCTTCCCAGTCCCGGTGCCATTCTCAATCCCATTTCCAGTCCCAGTCCCGATCCCATTCCTAGTCCTGGTCCTGTTCCCATCCCCACTCCTGTTCCCGTTCCCATTCCCACTCCTCTTTCCCCTCCTGCTGCTGTTCCCAGTCCCGATCCTATTCCCAGTCCTGGCCCTGTTCCTGTTCCCACTCCTGCTGTTCCCATTCCCAGTGCCAGTTCAGATCTGTTCCCAGTGCCATTCCCGGTCCCGTTTCCAGTCCCGACCCCATTCCCACTCCTGCTGCCATTCACAAACCCGTTCTCAGCACCAGTCCCAATCCTATTCCTGTTCCCATTCCCAGTTCTGTTCCCATTCCCGGTGCCAATCCCATTCCCACTGTGTTCCCGTTCCCACTCCTGGTGCTGTTCCTCCTCCCGTTCCCAGTGCTGATCCCATTCCCGGTGCCATTCCCGTCCCAGTTCCTGTTCCTATTCCCATTCCCAGTGCTGCTCCTGTACCCATTCCCGATCCCATTCCCAGTGCCGTTCTTATTCCAGTCCCGACCCTGATCCCATTCCCGGTGCCAGTCCCATTCCCAGTGTGTTCCTGTTCCCATTCCTGATCTTGTTCCCGTTCCCATTCCTGATCCCATTCCCAGTGCTGATCCCATTCCTGGTGCCGTTCCTATTCCTATTTCTGCTCCCCATCCCATTCCCAGTACCAGTCCCATTCCCACTGTGTCCTAGTTCCCATTCCTGACCCCGTTCCCAGTGCCGTTCCCATTCCCAATCCCATTCCCAGTGCTGTTCCCATCCCAGTTCCTGTTCCTATTCCCAATCCCAATCCTAATCCCAATCCCACAGGACTGGCAGGTTCGCTACCAGCAGGACGCGCCGGTCGCCCCCCGCTTCGATGTCAACGCCCCCGACCTCTACATCCCGGGTACGGCCCCGACCCCAAACCCTGACCCCTGACCCCAAACCCTGACCCTAACCCCGCTCCCTGTCCCCACAGCCATGGCCTTCATCACCTACCTGCTGGTGGCCGGGCTGGCACTGGGCACCCAGAACAGGTCGGGGGGGCCCCGGGATATTTGGGGGGGGGGGGGCAAAATCCCAACAGGGGTCCCTGAGCCTTTTTTTTGGGGTGGGGGGCTGTGCCCGGGGAGGGGTCCCTGTCCCTATAGGGAGCCCCCAAACCCTTGGGGGGGCCCAGTCAAGGTCCGTGGGAGTCTGAGGGAGGTGGGGGGGGGGGTCCCCAAAAGGTCCAAATTTATTTTTTTTTTGGAGGGGGGGCCCTGTGCACTGGGGGATCCCCAAATTTATGGGGGGGGGCAGGGGGGGTCCCTGGGCCCTGAAGGGGGGGGTTCTGGGGGGAGCTCTCTGGGTCCCAAGGGGGGGTCCCCGAGCCCTGGGGAGGGGGGTCATGGGCCCTGCGGGTACCCACAGGCTCTGGGGGGGGGGGGGTCCTGTCCTTAAACCCAGCGGGGGGGGGTCCCTAAACCTCGAGGGGGGCTCCCCAACCCCCCCCCAACCCTCCCTATTCGCTGGCAGCCCCCGCTCTTCCCCTGAACCCCCCAAACCCCTTGAAGGGGCTTCCCCAAACCCCCCCAGGACCTCGTGGCTGCAGGGGGGGGTCCCCAAAAAGCCGCCCCCCCCGCCCCCCCCCCGCTGTGCCCCCCCCCCCCCCCCAGGTTCTCCCCGGACAGCCTGGGGCTGCAGGCGAGCTCGGCGCTGGCCTGGCTGCTGCTGGAGGTGCTGGCGGTGCTGCTCAGCCTCTACCTGGTGGCGCTGCCCACCGACCTCACCACCATCGACCTCGTGGCTTTCGCCGGCTACAAATACGTGGGGTGAGCAGCCCGGGGGGGGGGGGGCTTTTAATATTTTTAGGAGCTGGGGGGGGCAGGTTTTGAAGCCCGCTTTCCCCGAGCAGGATGATCCTCGGGCTCCTCTCCGGGCTCCTCTTCGGCAGCACCGGTTACTCGTGGTGCTGAGCTGGTGCTGCCTCAGCATCTTCGTCTTCATGGTGAGTGTGACACAAACAAAGGGGGGGGGGGGGAAAAACCTTCAAACCCACCCCCCCCGCGATCCTAAAACCTGATTTTTATTTTTGCAGATCCGCACGCTGCGCCTCAAGCTGCTGTCGGAGGCGGCGGCCGAGGGGGTGCCGGTGCGCGGTGCCAAAAACCAGCTGCGCATGTACCTCACCATGGCCGTGGCCGCCGCGCAGCCCCTGCTCATGTACTGGCTCACCTTCCACCTCCTCCGTTAGCGGGGGGCCCCCCCGGACCCCCCCCCCATCGGCCGGGACCCCCTCCCGGTGCCCGGTTTGATGCTGGGATCCCCCCTTCCCCTGCCCCCATCCCGACCCCGGAGCACGGTTCCCTGTTGGGGTCTGCCCGGCCCGGCCCCGGTTTTGTCAATACAGGAGCTGGGGGGGAGACGGTGTCTGTGCTTTGTTATTGGGGGGGGGGCAAAAAGGGGGTCCTGGGGGGGAAATGGGGTCCGGGGGGGTATAAAGGTGTCCTGGGAGGGGGATATTGGGGTCTGGAGGTGTAAATGGAGTGCTGGGGAGTGATATTGGGGTCCGGGCGGTGATATTGGGGTGCTGGGGGGGCAATATTGGGGCTGGGGGGGAAATGGGGTGCTGGGGAGTGTAAATGGGGTGCTGGGGGGCGATATTGGGGTCCTGGGGGGGTGATATTGGGGTGCTGGGCGGGCAATATTGGGGTCTGGGGGCGATATTGGGGTGCTGGGGGGCGATATTGGGGTCTGGGGGAGTTAAATGGGGTGCTGGGGGTGGATAATGGTGTCCGGGGGTGATTTTGGGGTGCTGGGGGGTGATACTGGGGCACTGGAGGGGGTTATTGGGGTCCTGGGGTGGGTAATGGGATGCTGTGAGGGATTAACGGGGTCCTGTGGGGGCGTAACTGGGTCCTGGGGGATGATATTAGGGTCGGGGGGGGGTAAATGGAGTGCGGGGGGGTGATACTGGGGACCTGGGGGGGATATTGGGGACCTGTGGGGACATAACGGGGTCCTGGGGGACAATATTAGGGTCTGGGGGGGGGGGCATTTTGGGGTCCTGGGGGGGGCCACAGGGGAGCTTGGTGGCTCTTTGGGGTCACCGGGTGGCCTCTCAGCTCCTTGGGGCCATGGGGTGGGACCTGGGTGGCACTTTGGGGACAAGGGGCACGCCGGTGTCACCCCCCCGCCCCCCACACCCCGCCGGTGTCACCCGCGTCCCCACGGACTCTGCCCCCGGGCAGCGCCTGCGTCAGCGATTTATTGGGTGGGGGGGGGGGAGGGGGGCCCCCCCCGTGCATCTCAGTGCGGTGACCCCCCCGTGTCCCCTCGGTGTCCCCTCAGTGTCCCTTCTTCTCCTTTTTCTCCTTGTGCTTCTTGTGCGCCTTGTCCTTCTTGTGCTCCGCGCCGTGGGGCTGGGGGGGGGGACAGGGACATGGGGGGGGGGGTGGGGACATTGGGGGGGGGATTTGGGGACATCGGGGGGGGGTTAGGGGACATTGGAGGGGGGATTTGGGGACATCGGGGAGGGGGATAGGGACATTGGGGGGGATTTGGGAACATGGGCGATGGGGACTTGGGGGGGGATTTGGGGGCATTGGAGGGGGTTGGGGACATCGGGGGGGGTTGGGGACATTGGGGGGGACAGGAACATGGCGGATGGGGACGTGTGGGGGGACAATAACATCGGGGGGATTGGGGACATTGGGGGGGATTTGGGAACATGGGGGGGGCAATGACGTTGGGAGGGGATTTGGGGACATTTGGGGGGGGTTGGGGACATGGGAGAGGGTTGGGGACATCGGGGGGGACAATGACACGGGGGGGATTTGGGGATGCTGGGGGGGGAGGGAGGGAGGGACACGGGGGGGGCTTGGGGACAGTAAAGGGGAGGTTTGGGGACACGGGGGAGGGATTGGGGACATTGGGGGGGGGGTTTGGGGTCGGGGGGGGTTGGGGACAAGGAGGGGTTGGGGACAATGGGGGGGGATTTGGGGACAGTAAGGGGGGTTTGGGGACATTGGGGGGGGATTGGGGACACGGGGCCCCCCCTCACCTTGCCCTCATCGCTGGAGCTGGAGGAGGAGGAGGAGGAGGAAGAGCGGCGCCCATCCTGGGGGGGGGGGAAAGCAAAGGGGGGGGGTCACCGCAAATCCTGACCCCATGGGGTGGGGGGGGCCTCCAGAGGCTCGTGGGACACCCCAAAAAGGAGGGGGGGTCGTGGGTGGGGGGTCAAGGTTGGGGGGCTCCTGGGGGGGGGTCCCGAGGTTTGTAGGGTGCTGGGGGGGGGTCCTGAGGTTGTAGGGTGTGGGAGGGGTCTTAGGGTTTGGGGGGGGGGTCTTGGGGTGCCATTGGGGTGTCCCCCAGCTGTGGGGTGCCACAGTTACAGGCGGGGGGGGGTCCATTGGGGTGTGGGGGGGGTCCCAATGGGTGTGGGGGGGGTCCCAATAGGGTGGGGGGATAGGGTGCGGGGGGGGGGGGTCCCAGGGCGCCCCCCCCCCCCCCATTACCTTGTGCTTCTTTTCGGGGTGCCCCGAGTGCTTCTTGGCCCCGTCCATGGCTCCGCTGCCGCCCCCCCCCCGCCGGCTTTTATGGGGCTGCCGGGACCTTGCCCTTGGGTGGGGGCCACCCTTGGGTGCGCCCCCCCCCCCCCCCCCCGTCCTCGCCCCACCCCGGGGAGCGGCCGGACCCAGCCCCGCTGGCGCCAGGGCCGGGTGGTGCCGCCGAGCCCCCCCCCCCCCCCCCCACAGCACCCAAGGGTGCCCTATGGGAGGGGGGGGGGGGGGCACCCACCCCAAAAGGGCCCCCCCCCATTAAAAAAAAAAAAAAAAAAAAAAAAAAGGAGCCAGAGAAGGGAGGGGGGAGTTCGGAAATCCCTTTATTGCAAAAATTTTCCTTAAAAGTGTAAAAAAAAAATCCCGAAACCGTGAAGATTTTCATTAAAAAAGCCCCCAGCTGGTAAGGGGGGGGGGTGGGGGGGAGCACCCTTGGGTGCTCAGAGCCCCCCCCCCAAATCCCAAAGCACCCCGCAAACAGCCCCCTCCCAGGGGAAATGATCAAAAAATAAAGCCCTGGAGGGGGGGAACCCCATTTGGGGGAGAAAAAGCCCTATTTGGGGGGGGGAGAGGGGGGAAGGCCTCAGTTTGGGGTGAAAAACCCATTTTGGGACAGGGAAGGGGGGGGAGGCATGTTTGGGTTGAAAAAGCCCCGTTTGGGGGGGAGCCTCGTTTTGGGGTGAAAAAGCTACTTTTTTGGGGAGGGGAGGGAGAGGCCCAATTAGGAGAGGGGAAGATCAATTTTGGGGGGAAAAATGCTAGATTTGGGGAAAAAAGACTCTTTAAGGAAAAAAAAGTAATTCTTTTGGTAAAAAGCCTCATATTTATAGAAATAGCCCTATTTTGGGGGAAAAAAAAAGCCTAAAAAAGCCTCGCTTTGGGGGAAAAGGCTTCATTTTGGAGGAAAAAGCCTCATTTTGGTGGCAAAAGGCCATTTTGGAGGAAACAAACAACTTTTTTTGGGGAAAAGTCTAATTCTTTTGGTAAAAAGCCTCGTTTGGGGGGGGAAAGTCTCTTTTTTTTGGGAAATGACTTTTTTGGGGGGGAAGTCCTCTTTTTTTGGGGCGAAGGCCTCTTTTTCGTTGGAAAGCCGCGTCGTTTTGGGGGAAAATTCTCACTTTTTGGGAAAAAGCCTCATTTTTGGGGCAAAAAAACCCCAAACAAAGCAACCTTCCTTTTCGGGGGCGATCACATGGGCCCCACGGCCCCCACAAGCGCCTCCTTGTCGGGGGTGGGGGGGCCGTGGCCCAGCCCGGGGGGGGCACATCCCAAAAAGCGGCGGCGGGCGAGGGCGGCGGCGACCCCCCCCAGGAGCAGCAGCAGAGGCAGCAGCAGCAGGGCCAGGGCTGGGGGGGGGGGGACACAGCGGTGACCCCACGGGTGTCCCCAATTTGGGGACACACACACACACACACGTGGGGACGTGGTTTTGTTTTTTTTTTGGGGGGGGGGGCACTCACCTATGGTGGGCTGCACGGCGGGCTCAGTGCCGGGGGCTGGGTTTTGGGGGGGGGGGGGGGGGGGGCATCAATCCTGGCCCCGCTGTCCCCGAGCCCCCCCCCCAATGTCCCCAACCCCTCCCCCAAATCCCCCCAGCTCCCCTCCAACCCCCCCGAAGACCCCTCAAGACCCCCCCCCGGGCCCCAAGACCCCCCCTAGATCCCCCCCAGCTCTCCCAACCCCCCCCCCCAAACACCCTCCCAACGCCCCCAGGCCCCCCCCAAATCCACCCCCCGTGCTCCCAACCCTCCCCCAAAGACCCCCCCAATCCCCCAGCTCCCCCCCAAACCCCTCAAAGCCCCCCCCAACCTTCCCCTGAAGACCCCCCCAACCCCCCATCTCCCCCAATCCCCCCCAAATTCCCCCCAGCTGCCCCCTAAACCCCCCCAACCCACCCCTCCCCAAGACCCCCCCCCAGGCCCCAATCACCCCAAAGACACCCTCAACCCCCCCCCCCGCAGCTCCCCCCAAGCCCCTCCCAGCCCCCCCAAGGCCCCCCCAGCCCCCCAAACTCCCCCCAGCTCCCCCCCAAACCCCTCAAAGCCCCCCCCAACCCACCCCCCCCGTCCCCAAGACCCCCCCCAGGCCCCAATCACCCCAAAGACACCCTCAACCCCCCCACAGCTCCCCCCAAAACCCCCCAACCCCCCCCCCAAGACCCCCCCAAACTCCCCCCAGCTCCCCCCCAGCCCCCCCCCGGCCCCCCCCCCCGTACCGGGGCGCTGGCAGCTCCTCAGGCAGTCCTGGCGCCGGGCGTAGTTGTTGGCGTTGCCCCCGCACCCCCTGTAGGTGAAGGGGCGGCAGCCGCCCCCCCCCGGGCTGTGGAACCAGCGCTGGAAGGAGGCACGGCACGGGCCGGGGGCCGGGGGGGGCCGCACAGCGGGCTGGGGACACGGGGACACCTCAGGGACACACGGGGACACCGGGGGGATTGGGGGGGGGGGCTTGGGGGGAGATTGGGGACAGCTTGGGGACAGGCGGGGTCACCACGGGGACACCTCGGGGACCTTGGGGACACCCCAGGACATGTGGGGACACGGGGGGGGTGGAGGGGGGGTCCTGGGGACAGCTTGGGGACAGGCGGGGGCACCACAGGGACATCCCAGGGACTTTGGGGACACCCCAGGACATGTGGGGACACAGGGGGGGGTCTTGGGGACACTTTGGGGACAGGCAGGGGCAGCATGGGGACACCCCAGGGACTTTGGGGACACCTCAGGGACATGTGGGGACACCGGGGGGGTTGGGGGGGGGCTTGGGGGGAGATTGGGGACAGCTTGGGGACAGGCGGGGTCACCACGGGGACACCTCGGGGACCTTGGGGACACCCCAGGACATGTGGGGACACGGGGGGGGGGCTTGGGGACAGCTTGGGGACACCGTGGGGACACCCCAGGACATGTGGGGACACGGGGGGGGCTTGGGGACAGCTTGGGGACACCGTGGGGACACCCCAGGACATGTGGGGACACGGGGGGGGGGGGCTTGGGGACAGCCTGGGGACATGTGGGGGCACCATGGGGACACCTCAGGGACCTTGGGGACACCCCAGGACATGTGGGGACACCGGGGGGGATGGGGGGGGGTCCTGGGGACAGCTTGGGGACAGGCGGGGGCACCCCAGGGACACCCCAGGGACTTTGGGGACACCCCAGGACATGTGGGGAGGCTTGGGGACACTTTGGGGACAGGCAGGGGCAGCATGGGGACACCCCAGGGACTTTGGGGACACCTCAGGGACATGTGGGGACACGGGGGGGGGCTTGGGGACACTTTGGGGACATGCGGGGGCACCATGGGGACATCGAGGGGACGGGGGGACCCCGTGGGGACCCCGTGGGGACACCTTGGTAGGCGGCGTCCCGCAGGTCCTGGGGGGGCTCCGTGGGGCCGGGGGGGACCTCGGGGGTCCCCAGGGGGTCCCCGCCAGGGGACGCGGCTGCAGGTCCTGGGGGGGCCACGGGGCTGTCACCGCCGGTGGCACCGGGGGTGGCCCTGATGTCCCCCCCCCCACCCCCACCCCCACCCCCTGACTTTAGGGACCCCCCCAGCCCCCCTCCAGGCCCCCCCAGCTCCCCCAACCCCCCCCCAAGACCCCTTTAGACCCCCCCAAGCTCCGCCCAGGACCCCCCCAGTCCCCTTCAGCCCCCCCCAAGCCCCCCCCAGACTCCCCACGACCCCCCCCCAGCCCCCCCAGCTCCTTCCTCCGACCCCCCCGACCCCCAGGACCCCCAACCCCCCCCAGGCCCCCCCAAACTTCCCGAGACCCCCCCGGGACCCCCCCTCTGACCCCCGGGACCCCCCCAACCCCCCCAGCCCCCCCAGGACCCCCCCGGGTGTTTTTTGGGGAGGGTTTGGGGGGGGTCCCCGTGCCCCCCCCCCCCCCCGTTACCGGTCGGGGGCAGCAGCAGGAGGAGCGCCAGGAGCGCCGCCATGCTGCTGACGTCACGCCTCGCCCCGCCCCCCGCCGGTGACGTCACGCAGGTGCGCTCCACGCCCCGCCCCCCCAGGTGAGCAGTGCGAGGCCCCGCCCATTTCCCGCCAAGCCACGCCCTCTTTCAACGAAGCCACGCCCACCCCGTGCTCTGGCCACGCCCCCTGCCTCTGGAGGTTTAGCCACGCCCACTCGGTGTTTGGCCACGCCCACTGGCCCCGCCCCCTCATATGCATACGGCGCGGGAAAGTGGCGCGTGGGGGCTACGGGGGGCTACAGGGGGCTATAGGGGGCTATAGGGGGCTAGCGGGGGCTACGGGGGGCTATAGGGTGCTATAGGGGGCTGCGGGGGGCTACGGGGGGCTACGGGGGGCTATGGGGGCTATAGGGGGCTATAGGGGGCTATGGAAGGCTACGGGGGCTATAGGGGGCTTATGGGGGGCTATGGGGGGCTTCGGGGGGCTATGGGGGGCTACGGGGGGCTATAGGGTGCTATAGGGGGCTATGGGGGGCTTCGGGGGGCTATGGGGGGCTATAGGGGGCTACGGGGGGCTATAGGGGGCTATAGGGGGCTATGGAAGGCTACGGGGGGCTACGGGGGGCTATAGGGGGGCTATAGGGGGCTACGGGGGGCTACGGGGTGCCATGGGGGGCTACAGGGGGCTATAGGGGGCTATGGGGGGCTATAGGGGGCTACGGGGGGCTACGGGGGGCTATAGGCGGTTATGGGGGGCTATGGGGGTCTGCGGGGGGCTGCGGGGGGCTATAGGGGGCTATGGGGGGCTATAGGGGGCTATAGGGTGCTATGGGAGCTAGGGGGCTATAGGGGGCTATAGGGGGCTACGGGAGGCTATGGGGGGCTGCGGGGGGCTATAGGGGGCTATAGGGGGCTACGGGGTGCTACGGGGGGCTATAGGGGGCTATAGGGGGCTACGGGGGGTATAGGGGGCTATAGGGGGCTATGGAAGGCTACAGGGGGCTATGGGGGGCTACAGGGGGCTATGGGGGGCTATAGGGGGCTATAGGGAGCTACGGGGGGCTACGGGGGGCTATAGGGGGTTATGGGGGGCTATGGGGGTCTGCGGGGGGCTGCGTGGGGCTATAAGGGGCTCTGGGGGACTCTGGGGGGCTATAGGGGGCTGCGGGGGGCTGCGGGGGGCTCCGGGGGGCTACAGGGGGCTGTGGGGGGCTATAGGGGGCTGCGGGGGGCTATGGGGGGCTATGGGGGGCTATGGGGGTGTCCTGGTTTCAGTTAGCACAGAATTAATTTTCTTCCTAGTAGCTGGTGGAATGCTGTGTTTTGGCTTAGGATGAGAAGAGTGCTGATAACACCCCGATGCTTTAATTGTTGCAGAGCAGTGCTTATACTAAGCCAAGGACATCTCAGCCTCTTGCTCTGTCCTGCCAACGGGCAGGCTGGGGGTGCAGTAAGAGCTGGGAGGGGACAGAGCCAGGACAGGTGACCCAAACTAGCCAAAGGGGTATTCCATACCATCTGACGTCATGCTAAACAATATATAGGGGTGGCTAGCCGGGGGAAGGGGGCCGGACTGCTCGGGGTTAGGCTGGGCATCGGTCAGCGAGTGGTGAGCAATTGCATTGTGCATCACTTGTTTGTACATACTATTATTACTTTCCTATTATCACCATTGTATCATTATTATTATTATTGTTATTATTATTTTGTTATTATTATTTTCCTGTCTTATTAAACTGTCTTTATCTCAACTCACGGGCTTCACTTTCCATTTCTCTCCCCCGTCCCAGAGAGGGAGGGGGGAGGGTGAGCGAACGGCTGCATGGTGTTTAGCTGCCGGCCGGGTTAAACCACGACAGTCTTTTTGGCGCCCAACATGGGGCCCGAAAGGTTGAGATAATGGCAGATCTGATCAGAGTGTGTTAAACTAAAATTGGTGTAAGGATTAGACCTGCTTAATAGTCACTTGTCATGATGCTGATTGCTTTAATCTCAACTCTGCTGCGCCTGTTTTCCAAATTGAGTATTATAGTACATTATTTTCCGTATTTGCTCTCTGTCAGTGTTGTTTATCCTCTCCGGGCCCTGGTTTCAGGTCATTATGGTACTGAGTGTTATAGCAATGGCTTATGAGACGATGAGATATCTGGTCATGACTCTAACTTGGTATTTATACTCAGTAACATCGTGGACTCTGTACTTTGGAAACAGTATCTTGGGAACTATTAGCAATTATACCTGTTGTTTTTCTCCATTAGAGAGTCAATCTGTGGAGGGGAAAGGGGAAGATATTTTTTCTTACTTGCTTACTCTCCCTTTCTCCTTCACCACCCCTGTATCCTCCTGGATCACTCTGCCTTCCTCCTTCACCACCCTCTTATCCCCTGAGCTTGTCACAATAGCTCTCCAAGATATTGAATATTCTTGGATACTCAGACCACCATAGTCTTGTTGTTCTGCCTCATGAATGCACTTCAGATTCCTGCTTAAAGTTAAACAACTACTCATGGGAAGCTCATCAGGAGATCTGCCCGGAGGCAGGATAGTTGTGGGTGGCAGGGAGTATGGGTGGATATGGGCAAGGCATCTAGAAGCAGTTGTACCCAACCCCCCCCAGTGTGGTGGTGGAAATTCACCCCTGAACAATGGCAAAATCATCAAAAACTGGCAGAATGTGCTTGAAAAAAGGTGTCATGATTCTGGCAGGTTCCGAAGTAACAGCAAATCATTGTAACATGCTGGGGCCCTGGCCTTCATGCCTATCGAGCCTGCCATTGATACTGCTATCAACTTAGATGACAGCCCTGCTGGCCACTCCAAGCCCTGTGACAGATCCAAAACGGCCCCTGTGACCCCTACGGTGGACCTGCTACAAAAAGCAGCCGCTCCAGTCCCAGCTCCTGCAGCTTGATCCAGTTGCCAGCTCCTGCATGCCGCTCCAGTCCCAAGCTCCTGCAGCCGCTCCAGCTCCAGCTCCTGCAGCCGCTCCAGTCCCAGCTCCTGCAGCCGCTCCAGTCCCAGCTCCTGCAGCCGCTCCAGTCCCAGCTCCTGCAGCTGCTCCAGTTCCAGCTCCTGCAGCCGCTCCAGTTCCAGCTCCTGCAGCCGCTCCAGTTCCAGCTCCTGCAGCCGCTCCAGTCCCAGCTCCTGCAGCCGCTCCAGATCCGGTTCCTGCAGCCGCTCCAGCTCCAGCTCCTGCAGCCGCTCCAGCTCCAGCTCCTGCAGCCGCTCCAGTTCCAGCTCCTGCAGCCGCTCCAGCTCCAGCTCCTGCAGCCGCTCCAGTCCCAGCTCCTGCCGCTACTCCAGTCCCAGCTCCTGCAGCCGCTCCAGCTCCAGCTCCTGCAGCCGCTCCAGCTCCTGTGGCCGTGTCAGAGAAACGAGCTGTAGCAGTGCAAGTTGACCCCTGCAGAGGGTATTCCAACCTCTGGGGCAGACCCTGTAACAAAGTCAGAGAAACGAGCAGTAGCAGTGCAAGCTGCCCCTGTAGAGAAGGTGAAAAAATGATATAGAGATTCAGGTCGTTTAGAACGCAGAGAGTCTTCTGCCAATCCAGGTAAGGCTTCTGCCAAAACTAGGTATAGAGATGACGAAGATGACGACGACGCTGGGCCATCAAGGATTCAGGAGGAGGAAGACGAGGATGCCGAAAAATCAACAGTAACTACCCGAAGCCTAAACGAGCGCGAGCTACGAGATGTGCGAAAAGATTTTGGTCGCTGTATAGGTGAGCAGCTTGTCACCTGGCTGCTCCGGTGCTGGGACTCTGGAGCCAATTGTGTGGAATTAGACGGCAGGGAAGCCAAGCGGCTGGGATCCCTTGCTCGAGACGCCGGCATTGACAAAGCAATTGCAGATGGAGCACAATCCACCAGCCTCTGGAGGCGTCTCCTCTCAGCTGTGAGGGAAAGGTATCCCTTCAAGGAAGAACTTTTATGTCTACCAGGCAAGTGGACCACTATGGAGAAGGGAATCCAGTACCTGAGGGAATTAGCCGTACGGGAAGTGATTTATGAGGATCCAGACCTCAGACAAACATCCAAAGACCCAGATGAAGTCAGGTGTACACGACCCATGTGGCGGAAGTTTGTACGGAGTGCACCATCATCATATGCCAGCTCATTGGCAATAATGGCCTGGAAAGAGGATGAGGAACCCACAGTGGATGAAGCGGCTAAACAACTCCGGCAGTACGAAGAAAGTCTCTCCTCTTCCTTACAGGCCTGCGTCTCAGCTGTGGAGAAACTTTCTGAAAAGGTTCACCAACTTGAAGAGAATCTATCGTCCTCCCCACCTGAACCAACCAGTGTCCATCGACCAAAAGAGAACACCTGGGAGAAACTTTCTGAAAAGATTCATCAACTTGAAGAGAGATTATTCTCCTCTGCACCTGTACAAAGCAGTGTCTCAGCTGTCAGGGGTAGGCGTTCACCCACACAAGGAAGACGCTATGGTGGGTACTCACCCCGTGCCACCCTGTGGTTTTACTTACGAGACCATGGAGAGGACATGAGAAAATGGGATGGAAAATCTACCGCGACCCTAGAGGCACGGGTACGTGAGTTGCAAAAGAAAACAATCAGGAAAAAGGGATTCTCCGAAAAGTTTGCTGCTCCAACTTCCAGCAGACAGTCCTTCAAACACAGAACCGAGGAAGATTCTGACCAGGATTAGGGGGGCCCTGCCTCCAGCCAGGGGGAGGAAAGGGACAATCGAGTTTATTGGACTGTGTGGATTCGATGGCCTGGCACGTCACATGCACAGAAGTATAAGGCTTTAGTAGACACCGGTGCACAATGTACTATAATGCCATCGAGCTATAAAGGACCAGAGCCCATCTATATTTGTGGAGTGACAGGGGGATCTCAGCAGTTGACTGTATTGGAGGCTAAAGTGAGTCTGACTGGGAATGAGTGGGAAAAGCACCGCATTGTGACTGGCCCGGATGCTCCATGTATCCTTGGCATAGACTATCTTAGAAGAGGCTATTGCAAGGACCCAAAAGGGTTCCGGTGGGCTTTTGGTATAGCTGCCTTAGAGACAGAGGGCATTAAACAATTATCTAGCTTGCCTGGTCTCTCAGAGGACCCCTCTGTTGTGGGGTTGCTGAGGGTCGAAGAACAGCAAGTGCCAATCGCTACCAC